AGTAGTAGTGTAGTAGTAGTATACTACTACTATATATATATATAGACACACACATACACACACATATATTATTATATATATATATATATAGATACACATACACATACACACACACACACATATATATATATATATATATATAAGAGATTTTATACTATGAGACCCCATTTATCTTTGTGACAAGGAGGTCACAATTGTTACTAGCCATTAGATACCAAATTGGATGGCTTGGGATGTATCACAAAGTTTGAGAATATTTTTTTTTAAACTTAAGAGTCTAGTTAATACACACTCACAACCACCTGATTTGAAATCTAGCATACAAGAGTGCCTGTAAATGGACATATGAAAATCTTGAAAATGAACGGTCTAGATAATGTGTCGTAAGATGAACTATTTCTGGGACACAAAATCTTTACTTTTTTCATATTCATACATTTTGATGCCGAGATGATCAATTAGAGGGTTTTTTAACATTAAAACAACATTTTATGATAGATTTTTGAGGTGCATATGTAATTCTACACTTTAAGATTGCAACCTTTTATAAACTTTTTTCTTATTTAAATTATTATAATTAATTATTTTGATTACAATAATTATTAGTGTTTTTAATTACCAAAAAATGTGATTGATATAAATAATATTAATTATACTAATAACATAGCTGTAATAGTCTAATGAATATTATAAGACTTGCAAAAATAAGAACAATCCTAATTAAATATTATGAATATATATACATATATTTGAATCATAAATATTATGAATATATTACAAGACTAAAATTTGTAATTAGATAATGATGATGATGATGATGCATATTATATTGATTATAACAATAACAATTATATTAGGAATCCTGAACCTATGATAATGATGACAACAACAACAATTGCATAAATTAACTAGTTTATTCTAAGATTACTAAATATAGTTAAAATTATGATCTCAATAATATTCTCTCAGGTTATTTGATGTATCATATTTTATTTGATATGTTTAAATAACGTGCAACCTTTACTCATTTGGCCAAGGATATGTCTAATATGCTATAAAGAGAGAGAGTCGTTTTCTCATTTACCATATTGTTTGTTATATTATTTACATAACCCTTCTGATAGGACCCGCAAAGCAGGTGCATCTTACTAGCATATTGCATCTTACTAGAGTATATAGACACACACTTATGTGACAGATTTCCTACAAATTTCAAGCTGTAACATGCAGATACAGTGCTTCTTAGATAAGAGAGATATTTTTCCAACATGTTGCTTTCAAATTGCTATCCCCTTAGAGTAGGAACAAGCTCAGGATCCCACTTTCAGTGGCATCACGATCCCATGTAGGAGGGATTGCATCCCCTACGGCGGATGCACACCTGGAGCATGGACAGCAGCTACGGAGCTGGGCGATCGTGGAAACTAGGTATTAACTGTAGATGCATTACATGGTCTTTCTTCATGCCGCTTTACCATGAGGCCACTTAAATAGCTTGTTTTCTATGTGGGGCCACAAAGCATTGGGCACCTCATTAGAGATATTCCCATGTGACTGCAAGAAATTCACATATGCAGGACAAACTGTACAACACATTCCTTACACCTAATGCCTATGGGAATTGTTAACAGAGAACATGAGAAAAAGTAAGTGAATAAAGTTGAGTCCTCAACAAAATTTGAGAACAACCATGCTCTTGTATGAGACAGTGTATAGAACCATACAGAAAAGAACATATTGAACAATAACACACTTCAAGTTTCTCTGTGTTAATCAAGAAACATGAACAAACTTATTGAGTTGGCAACATTTTATAGGACAAAAGATGGCCCGAGATCAGTGTTCTTGATTTCCAAAAATAGAAATGGGATTATCACAACTGAAACAGATCCCAGTTCCCAATTTCGGCCATGCAACACGTTCATAACTGGAAAGGAACCTCATCAAGGTACTCCATATGGAGCCCACGACAATATTTCTTAACAAAGAAGAATTGAAAATTAATTTCTGAAAAGGCCTGAGGAGGTCAAACAGGCAATTAAATAAAATTCCATGAAGCATTTCGTAGGTGTCTATGGGAATATTAATTTTGGCAGCAACACCACCACCTACATGCAAGATACAGCCTGATTAGAGAATTTAAATCCACATTTGGAAGAAATTGGTGTACCAAAATTGCTCTTGATCAGGCTCTAATACATTTACACAACAGAGAACACTCTGATATCATCAAAGCATATAGCAGAAACACATGATCCTACTCTCGTAGAATCATTAAGATGCAACTTGCAACACACACGCACGAGGAAATGGGAAAAACGTAAAAGAAAGAGAGCTCCCCCTTGCAACTTTGAATTGATGTAGCATGCACATCAAGGAAGTATGCTACATTAAAATGGTAGTTGAAAAAGAAGCTTTCAATCTCAAGTGCCCCGTTTCTTCTTCGTTGTGGGTGTGTGCTGCCAATTGTGGACGTATTCTTGCTATGCAATTGAATAATGGTGTCGCCAATGAGAAAACGGTGCTGCTAATTGGATAATAGTGTCGTTAATGCGGAAATCAAAGTTCATGGAATTCTTGGGGCAGTGATGTTCGGAATCAATCCAACAGAATAGATCCTCATTCTTAACTATTGCGCAGCTCATCATCATTCCAACTCCCTAAAGAAAACACCTTTCACCATCCTAACTCCAAATAGATAAGCTCAGATCCTAATTGGAAAATAGTGCCGTTAATGCGGAAATCAAAGTTCATGTAACTCTTGGGGCTGTAATGTTCGGAAACAATCCACTTGAATAGATCTTGATTCTTGACTACTATCCAACTTATCATCATTCCAACTCCCTAAAGAAAACGCCTTTCACCATCCTAACTCCAAATTGATAAGCTCGGATCCTAATAGCCATGCAGGTAAAGTTTGTTTCCAAATTCATTCATATAGTTTAGCTAGTTATTAGCTTAAAAGGGTTATAGATGTTATGATCCTAAAGCCAAGAAATCACATACTATGCTCTTTCATATAAATAAATTTTTCATACAAATGATTGCGTTTTGTCATATAAATATAACAGCATTGTATGATAGGGAAATATAATGATTTCTGAGAAGCCCATGGAATTCATTCAGTTTTAAGTACTCCTATGGGCATGGCATGCAACCAATAAGAACTCAAAAACATCATTGTGGCCATACATCTTTATCTGATGCACGTGTTTCCCACCAAATCAATAGACCAGAGATCAATTCAGCTTGCATGCACCATTAAAACATCACTAGCTTTAACCAATAAAGAGTAACTGTGATTTTCAGTAAAAACAGCAAAGATCAGATAATATTCTAAAAGTAAATTGAAGCCAATACCGTTCCATTAGAAAGCTTCCCATCCAATTGATTTATCAATGAAAAATACTTCTCTTTGTAAACTGAAGCTTCCCGCTTCTGCTCTTCGAGCTCAGTCATGAAGGAATCCATAAACTGTTCCCACTCCCAAACAGCACGTTCCCTTCTGAAAATAAGTTCCTCCTTCGTTAACAGAAACCTGCATGCCCAGCAAAACAAGTTCAGTTTCCAAAAATAGGAAAGAGTTCCAGAAACCCTACACAAAACCAGTTCAGAAAACCTAAAAATCAAAGAAAGCCTACCTTTCACGGGAAACGAGGGACTCATCTAACTGTTTAAATAGATAATGGAAACAATCACGATTTATCCCAAATTGTTTTACAGTTGCAGATTCTTCGAAAGCAGGTTGAAAGGTGGGAGACTTCCATTGATCGTTACGAGAAGCAGATGGTGCTGGAGGCATGGACGCAGACTGAGGTGGAGCCGATGAAAAACTGTAACGATAAGCTGATGGTGCTGGAGGCATGGAAGCGGACTGAGGTGGAGCAGATGAAAAACTGTAACGAGAAGCAGATGGCGCTGGAGGCATGGAAGCGGACTGAGGTGAAGCAGATGAAATACTGTAACGAGAAGCAGATGGTGCTGGAGGCATGGAAGCGGACTGAGGTGGAGCAGATGAAATACTGTAACCCACATTGGGGCGCTTTCTCCATCTCGTTCCCTTTCTCAGGTCACCTTCCTCCATTTTTAGAAAGACAAACCAGCCCTCTCTCTCTTTCCCTCTGAACTCTGAACTCTCAATGCCCTACTTCTCTCTCTCTCCGTCTGAACTCTGAACTCTCAATGCCCTACTTCTCTCTCTCAATGCCCTAAGTCTCTCTCTTATGCACTGTCTCTCTCTCAAAGGAAATTGGAAAATCCCGCCATGGCTACAAAATCTTCCATATTAGGCATGAAAGATTTTCTCTTCTTCCTTCTTGGGAAGATTAAGATTAAATAGGGAGTAAAAAGATTGTGAATATCCATTTATAGAATAGGCGTGGCTGTTAAAGCTGAGGAAGGTTTATTACAGGAAGACGGGTTGCATCCCAGATGCAATGCATGTAAAGTGAAATAGACATTTGGGCGGGCGAGGAGCCTGGCTTCAAGGTCACCACCAGATGATATGCAGATTCCCCTGTTCGAATCAGGCTAACACCGGTTTTAAACAGATTTAAAAACAGAGGCCATCTGTGGACCCGTTTGAATAGGAGGAAATTAGAAATACTAGATATTTGATATCCATTGATTTTCAATTTAAAGGATTTTTGTCGTGGATTTCTCAAATTTATTGTTTGAATAAATAATATAAAATTAATTGATTCTTTGCAATCACTTGAATGTCCATTATTTAGGTAACTAAACTTGATACAATTTCTCTTTCTAAAATTCTTTTTTGTTTTTTTTATCTCAAAAAATCAAAATATGAGATATTGTATCTTTAAAAATTTTGAGATAGTTTTTTTATCTAAAATATGGTTTCTCTCTCTAAAATTTAATATAATTTCTATTTAAAATTTAAATTTTGAAATTTTCTAGCTAAAATTTTTGAGATAATTTCTCTCTCAAAAAATTTTAGGTGTTTTACTCTCTCTAAAATTTAATATAGTTTCTCGTTCTAAACTTTAATATAGTTTTTCTTTCTAAAATTTTAAGATACTCTCTCTAAAACTTAAAACTTGAGATAGTTCCCCTCTCTAAAAATTTTAAATAGTTTCTTTTTAAAATTTTATAGTGTATCTCTCAAATTTGATATACTTTCTCTAAAAAAATTTGAGATAGTTTCTCTTTCAAAAAACTTGATGTAATTTCTCTATCTAAAATTTGATATAATTTATCCTTCTAAAATTTTAAATATTCTCTATCTAAAACATAAATTTTGCAATAGTTTCTCTCTCTAAAAATTTTGAGATAATTTCTATCTTTAAAATTTTTTAGGCAGTTCTCTCTCTAAAATTTGATACATTTTTATCTTTAAAATTTTAATATATTTTCTCTCTCTAAAATTCCAAATTCGAGATAGTTTCTCTTTAAAACTCAAAATTTGAGATAGTTTCTTTATCTAAAAAAGGAGTTATTTCTTTCTAAAAAAAAATTTGGCCGTTTCTCTTTCTAGAATTTATAATAATTTTTTTCTAAAAGTTTAATAATACTTTCTCTATCTAAAACTTAAGATTTGATATAGTTTCTCTCTCATAAAGTTTTGAAATTGTTTCTCTCTAAAAAATTGAGATAGTTTGTCTCTAAAAATTTTCATGTCCTTTCTCTCTCTAAAATATGGTAGTTTCTCTCTAAAGCTTAAAATTTGAGATAGTTTCTCTCTAAAATTTTCAGATAGTTTATCTCTCTAAAAAACTTTGGTACATTCTCTCTCTAAAATTTTAACATACTTTTTCTCTCTAAAATTTTAACATACTTTTTCTCTCTAAAATTTTAACATATTTTCCCTCTCTAAAAGTTAAAATTTGAGAGAGTTTCTCGCTCTAAAATTTTGAGATAGGTCATCTCTCTAAAAAAAATTGATACTTTCCCTCTCTAAAATTTTAACATACTTTCTCTGTCTAAAAGTTTAACATACTTTCTCACTCTAAAATTTTATCATATTTTCTCTCTCTAAGAGTTACATTTTGAGATAGTTTCTCTCTCTAAAATTTTGCGATAGTTCATCTCTATAAAAAAAAATACTTTCTGTAAAATTTTAACATATTTTCTCCCTCTAAAATTTAAACATACTTTCTCTCTCGAAAATTTTAACATATTTTTTCTCTCTAAAAGTTAAAATTTAATAAGTTTTTCTCTTTAAAAATTTTCAGATGGTTTCTTTCTTTAAAAAATATTTAGATGATTTCTTTCTCTCTCTAAAATTTTCATACCTACAAAATGCTCCATATGTTTCACGTCGAGGGAGCCAATGAGTGAAATCCATAGGCATTGGAAATACAAAACAGATTTTGGTGTGGATATGAAATCATAGAAAAGCAAGTCTTATTACCATCTTCTGCGATTTCTAGAAGGTCTCCGTGAAACTCTTCTGCGATTTCTAGAAGATCTCCATGAAACTCAAATAAATCAGCAACATTAAATATCAAGGAGATATTCAATGCCTTTGGTAATTCTACCTTATATGCATCGTTCCCATATTGCTTCAAGATGCGGCTATGACTCACGTTCTTGGACTTGAGTTTATTATAGGTTCCCAACGGAAACATTTCCTTTCGCAAATACACCATTACTAAGTCACACTCCTTGAAAATCTTTTCTCTTCTATACTCATTTGAGGCTTTTTGATACTTTGCATTGCTCTCCTCAATTTTCTTCTTGATATGGGCTTGCAAATCTCGAATATGTTCAGCAAAAGCATTGACATCATCACTTATCTTGCATGGCATGAGTAATGACACTAGGTCCAGCATATGATTAAGCGTCCGCCCATTAACAATATCAAATGACAATACTCCTCAAGAGGTTACCAAGGCTCCTATTTACTACTTCGGTCTGCCATCTGTTTGAGGATGATAGGCACTAGAAAATTGAAGTTTGGTTCCCATGCGCTTCCATAAAGTGCGCAAAAAATGACTTAAAAATTTTATATCCCGATCAGATGTAATAAACTTAAGAACACCATGTAGCCTTACAATATCTTTGAAAAAGAGATTCGTGATATGTGTAACATCCATAATTCTTCTACAAGGAATAAAATGTGCCATTTTGGAAACTCAGTCAACAACAACAAAAATAGAGTCTATACCTCGTGTGGTACGTGGAAGTCCAATTACAAAGTATATAGAAATATCAACCCATTGGGCATATGGAACAAGAAGAGGAGTATAAAGACCTGTATTTTGTGTGTGACCTTTAGATACTTGGCAAGTTCGACCTCGGGTCACAAGTCGATCAACATCTCATTGCATATGTGTCCAAAAATATTTTTCTCCAATCATAACTATAGTTTTGTCATTCCTAAAATGTCCAACCAAGCCCCCACCATGAAGCTCCATGATTATCTTCTCCCTTAGGGAGCAATTAGGTATACATAACAGCACACATTTAAATAAACAACCATCATGCATGAGATGCTCACCCATAAGTCTCGCCCATCAACACACCTTTCAAGGACCTTGCTGAAAATTGGATCAACTTTATATTGATCTTTTATCACTTCAAACCCCAACACCTCCATAGACAAAGTTCTAAGCAATACTACATTTCTACTTAAAGCATTAGCTGCCTTATTTTGAGTTCCAGCCTTGTGCTTTAATAAGAAGGTGTATTCTTGAAGGGAGGCCATCCACTTAACATGTCACGCATTCAACTTTTTCTGGGAACTCAAATACCAGAGTACTTCATGATCTGAGTATAGAACAAACTCATCATTCAATTTCTCACTAAAAAAGGTCAATGGTTGTCCCTCTTAACTTAAAATTGCCCCTATGTCAACATTTAATGCATCAGTTTCAACCTCAAACACCTTAGAAAAATCTAGTAAGGCAAATACTGGTGCTTGCATCATCTTTTGATTAATTAGAGTGAAGCTCTTTTCATCAGCGGGACTCTATGAAAACTTTCAAGCCCTCATATAAGCAGTCATTGGTGCTATTAGAGTGATGAAATTTCTGATAAATCAACGATAAAAGGTTGCTAGGCCATGAAAAGAACGCACCTCAGTGAGTGACTTTGGCACCGGCCACTCAGCTATGCCTTTCAATTTTTCTTGATCCACCTTAATTCCCTCAGATGAAACAACATACCCCAGAAAGATGACATTTTTTGTTATAAATGAGCATTTTTTCAAATGCACAATAAGTGATTCCTTCCTTAATACATCAAAAACGTGTTTCAAGTGGTTAAGATGATCACGTGGGTTAGCGCTAAAAACCAAGATATCATCAAAATAAACCACAACAAGTTTGCCAATAAAAGGACGAAGTACCTCGGTCTTTAGGCGCATGAATGTGCTTGGTGCATTAGAAAGACCGAATAGCATCACATGCCACTCATATAGTCCGTCTCGAGTTTTGAATGCAGTTTTCCATTCATCTCCAGGAGAAATCCGAATTTGATGGTACGCACTCCTTAAATCAATCTTTGAGAAAACCTTGGCTCCATTAAGCATAACTAACATATCATCAAGCCTATGTATGTGAGATCAGTACTTGATTGTGATTTTGTTAATTGTCGGACTGTCCACGCACATCCTCCATGACTCTTTTTTTTTTGGAGTCAGTAATGCAGGGATGGCACATGGTGACATGCTTTCTTGAGGCAATCCCTTCTTAAGCAAAGCAACAACTTATCTGTGCAACTCCTCATGTTCCATGGGGCTCATTCGATAATGGGCCAAATTTGGTAAGCTAGATCTGGGCACCAACTCAATGTGATGCTGAATATTTTTCATTGGAGGAAGACCATCATGCAATTCTTCTTAGCATCAAATCTTTATACTTATCAAGTAAAGGTTCAAGAGACCTAAGAATTGCAGTCGGTGCAGAATTTCCTTTTGCAACCAATACATAAATTACATCCATATCCTTGCTATCCACTTTTAATTTTTGAACATTAGGCAACTTTGAACCCTCATCTTTAGTAGATTTGGGTGTATGAAGTTGCTTCATAGGGTGGAGTATTTTATTAATACCACCATTAACAAAAGAATAAGTGTTTGGCCTAGTTTTATGCATCATATCATGATCATAAAGTCATAGTCTA